CTTAAGGGAAGTTCTGATCTTGCTAACATTAACAGATTTAGAGGTGGTGTATCCATAAGTAGTTCTACAGAAACAGTATCCAATATTATAGTTCTTTTTATCTGTGCTGCATTGCTGACAGTTCCACGTGAAAGTGAAGGCGAAAAGATGGCATATAGAGACTGATCAAAAGTGCTAGAGTTTCTGACCAGAAAATAGAACAGTAAAACAGTTGCTTTGTTATCAAGAAAAATAAATGTTGCAATCCTGGTATAATAGAGGTGCAACTGAAGCTAAGAGACATTGTGAATTATCCTATTGTACAAGCAAAGCATATAAAGAGAAGACAAAGAAGTTGAGAACCAGCTGCGTAATCAAGGTATTTTTAAGCTTGTAGAAAGAGAAAGTTTGGAGCTTACTTCTGGGGAGGGAAAATAAGAAATACCAATGGGTTCACAAAGTATAAGGTTCTCTTGTTCTGAAACTTATACATCATTGTTATTTGTGTTTCATAACTGTGCCTCTAAATTAGTGTTTATATCTCTTGATACATACTATAGTGCTTGAATCTATCTGAAATGGAAAATGAGTGGGTGATCAAGGTAAACGATGAGCTGATGCACGTGGAGGATCTGACAACGGTGGAGGCAGAGCACTGGAAGAAGCGGTCCATATATAGAGTACCTGTTGGTGTTGCAGATGTGAGCAAGAAAGCTTACAAACCTCAGGTAGTTTCTTTTGGTCCTTACCATCATGGCACAGATCATCTCAAGACTATGGAAGTTCATAAGCACCGAGCTCTTCTTCATTTCCTCAAGCGATCTGGAAAATCATTAACATGTTATATTGACTCCTTACAACAAGTGGCTCAAGATTTGAAAGATGCATATGCCTTGCTGGATCCTGTATGGCAAAATGATACCAATGCTTTCTTGCGGTTGATGATTCTTGATGGCTGTTTCATGCTGGAGGTCTTGAGAACAGCTGCTGCTGATAGTCTACTTATAGATCAATCTCAGCATCCTCAACAGTACGACTATGCTCCTAATGATCCGATTTTCAGCAATCATGGAAAGCTCCATCTCATGCCTTATCTCAAACGCGATATGTTGATGCTTGAAAATCAGTTGCCTATGCTCCTTTTGGAAAGATTACTTGCCATTGAAAATCAAGAGGAAAAGGTCTTTCTCTCCCTCGTTTAAACACATGCTCACATCTCGTTTACGTGACACTTTTTATTTATTTAACTACTTCAACTTTGATCAGTGACCTTTTTTGATCTGATTCCCCTTACAGATTGAAGGGTTACTCGATGGCATTCAGCAGGAAGATGAGCAATGCATTAATAAGCTCATACTGGACTTCTGCAATCCTCATAGCCGCGCTAAAGGACTTGGGAAATGTTTACATGTATTGGATGTGTACAGAAAGAGCATACTTTGGGAAGATCCTACGTTGGGCAAGACTCGTCCAAGGAAAGCACCCAAAGTTAGCAACCAGAGTAGTGGCGATGAGATAATCCGTTCTGCTATGGAGCTTCATGAAGCAGGCATTGTGTTCAGGATGAGTAAAACTAGAAGCCTCAAGGACATATCCTTCCATGGTGGTATACTTAAGCTTCCTCTGATCGTGGTGGACGATGCAACAGAGTCAATGTTCTTGAACCTAATAGCTTTCGAGAGATTGCATGTAGGTGCAGGAAATGAAGTAACCTCATACATCTTCTTCATGGATAATATTATTGACAATGCCAAAGATGTTAGCTTGTTACACTCTAATGGCATCATCCAGAATGCAATTGGCAGCGATCAAGCTGTGGCTAAGCTATTCAATTCACTATCGAAGGACATTACGTTGGATCCAGATAGCAGCCTTGATCTAGTACACAAACTGGTAAGTGACTATTGCAAACTGCGATGGAATGAATGGAGAGCCAATCTTATTCACACCTACTTCAGAAGTCCCTGGGCCATTTTGTCTGTCATTGCTGCTATCTTTCTTTTCGCCCTCACCATTGTTCAGACGATATACAGCATCTATCCTTACTATTATCCACCACGTTCCTAACGACAATATCCTCACATTGAAGTACAAAGACTTCACTTTTCTCTATTGGAGAAAGACGACGACTGTTACCAAATTTTGAAGTGAACTAATCTGGTGCATCTTATTTCTAATTCACTTTGATTCCTCAAGTCCATATGTTAGTTATCACAAAAGTAAAGTGGTGTTTATGTGATGAATGTAATACTTGATATCCTACTCTATATGTGGTTTCAGTGAGAAATGAACACGTCCCGTGTAATCCAAGTGGAGTCTGGGAAGGATGATGTGTACGTAGATCCTACCTTACCTAGTGAATTGTACATAGGTGATTTCTAAAAGACCTTCGGCTCAAGTAAAGCATATTTCAGTAAGAAATGCCTTTGCATGTGAACAATACTTACAAAGCCTATTGACAATGTCTATACTTGCTCTTTTTTGGACATTATCAAGATTCTGTTTTTATGCCTTACTTGTGAATACATCTACAAGTGTTTACATCATGTAGAGATAATAGGTCATCCATTTTTTCAAAGTAATGAAACTCTCTCTAAAAGAATTTTCATAAATGTTTGCGAGTTATTGCATGTCATGGTGTTTACCCTATTCACACTCAAAGAATAACGGCAAGGGTTCATAAAAAAAGAATTTTCATAAATACATTTCTAGTAACTTAATAAGAGTTGCTATGTGAATTCTCATACATATATGGAATAGATTAAAGATGATCAAACTATTTATGAATGTGACCACAATTAACATCACTATGATCGGGCAATTAAACACAGGTCAGAAGTGAGTTACTAGCCGTCTAACCAATCTGCTAAACGATCGATCGAGCTCTCATTGCATGCAATTATGTGATGACAAACCTTTTGTTCTAATTTAGTGCTCTTCGAACCATGCCAGATGTGATATTTGAATTTAGTGCTGTTCGAATCGCGCGAAAAGGAAACTTATTTGATTTTATTTATTTTGGATTTTTTCTCAAAGAAATAAGTAATAAATCTTATACAATATAATTAAGGATTTCATCAAGAAGAAATAGAAAATTTAGTATTAAAGAAACATGATCCAATACATATAGCTTTTTATCACAATGAGGATACCAAGAATCTAGCTAGTCTAGATTGGAATCCTTTAAAGTACTTTATTATCACCTTATGATCAATTATATATTGCTATGCTAACATTTAAAAAAAAAAAAAAATTAAAAGGGGTGATAAGATGCTAGCATAAAAATATGCTAGTATTTTCTTACTAGAAAAGGATCAAAAAGAAAAAAAAAAGTAAAACATTTCAATTTCTTAGAAAAGGTAATAAAAATTGACTAATAAACAAGTGAGATCAATATATTTTCCTCTACGTGCTCTATCTGATCATGATAACGAAAGAGAACTCTATATACTAAAAAAGAAATTTGCTTTATTCCTAAAATGAAATATAGAAAGTGGTACGATATGAGGCTCGAGAGATCTCGAGTATAATATGTGCTACTTATAAAAAAAAACTCTACTCACATCTTAATACATAGTTGAAGAATGACGCGATCAAAAAAGTTATCCCTGAATAAAATATCAAAAAATCTTTTCTTTCGTTTTCATTACAAACAAATAAAGAATTGTAATAAAATTAATGACAAGACATTTTTTACCTTATGAAGTCTCTAAGTGAAGCAACATTAGTCATTAAGTCCAAATTAATTGCTCTAATTAGAGAATGCTTATCTCCATATTTAAAACTTTTAGTAGAATTCTTTATACATTAATTAAAGCCAAAAGCATGATGAATTTTTCATGAAATTTTGATATTCGAATAATTTGAGAACATTTTTTTTTTGCCTACCATTGTCATGGAATTTTATTTGGAGATAAAAGAAAGAATATTGGTGAACAAAATGATTCTTTTAAAGTGGAGGGTGCTCAAAAGAAGGAACATATTCCTTTTATCACTTCTTGTGTATGTTATTTTTATAAAATAATATATATCCAATTTGATTCTTCTAAGTTCTTAAAATAGCCTTATATTTTCAACTAGTGTAACATATTATGACCTATTTCATGCTAGGAGTATATTAATATATTATCACTTAAAGTATGTGGTCTTTAATTAATGAGTGTAATTTTTTTTTTTTAGTTGTGTTTTCTTTTTGAGAGGAGTTGTGGAATGCGTTAGAAGTCGGTCGTTATAGCTTTGTTATTTAACGTAATAAATGAGTGATTTTGGATTGGTAGAATGAATTGAATTAATAAATGAATTGTCGGATATTTTTAATTGAAGAATTAGTTGAATTAACGTATGACGTAGTTAGGACTTTTCAAATTTTATTTGATCAGAGAGAATCAAGATGAATTCGACAACTCATATAAAAAATTATTTATTTTGTTTATTTTCTAATAATTTATTTGATTAACAAAAAAAGCTTCTCTTCTTCTTATATATCAAATAAAAGATTATCTCAATATTTTGATTACTTTTCTCATGGGTCCATTTTGTTAACGTACTTCGCCTAAATCAATCCAATTTTTATATGTATTGAATTCTGACAGAATAATCAAAAAACAAGTCATATTTTATGGGCTAATTTTATCATCGTAATATTTTAACTCTACAAGTGCATTTTGCGACTTAATGTAAGTTTATAACCTATTTGATCAATTTTTTAAAATCTGCTTATTTTAAAAAGTATGTTACATGTCTCAGAATACAGAAGATGTACTTTGAGATTACTACAGATTACCCAAGGCATGATTTTTGTCCAAATGTATGATTACCGAAGATTGTAGGTTAGAATTATGTCCCGCTTAATCAGTTAAACATCGTTCATCGGAATAAAAGGTCAGATCCAAATTTTGGTATTCCAAAAACAACTAAATTGTAACCAAAAGTATCCTTTTGTTCAACTTTTTCATTTTTATCAAAGAATAGAGTATCATCTTGCTCTTTAAGTTAATAAATATAAATAAAGAGAACAATTATTCAAACAAAGCTAAAGAAATTAAATTTGATCATTTTAGCATAATGTAATTACCCAACACATACAAAAATGATCCAAAAAAAAAGAAAAAAAAATCCACCCTTTTGCATTAACCTCCCTGTTTTTTCTCAACCATTATTTATCATTTTACAACAAACCAAGAAGATCCAAGGATTCTCCATGAATCAATTAAAACCAGCAAAAGATTGTAACATCCTACATTAACACGAACACGATGAACGCGTTAATCAACAGAACCCCTGCAAGAAAAAGAAAAAAAAAACGCACGCTAGCTCTTGTGAATACGACAGAACTAAAATATCATATAAGCGCAAAGATTGAATTGATCAATACATACCAATGTGCCATGGAACATTTCTGAAGCTGTTACTCCAAGATGATCCAAGGAAACAATCGTTCGTCGTGTTGAATCCACTAGGGCAATTGCATACAAATGAACTATAAGGTCCTCCATAGCCACAAACACCATTGCTTTTTTCACAATTAGCACACATATCAGGATAATCATTGTTGAAATTGAACTTGTATTTCAACGCGATCCCATATTTCCATACTTGAGGATTCAATTCTTCGCCACTAAAGCCGTATAAAGCAGAGTATGATGAACACTGCAACTTATTTAAGTCCATCTCAAACGCGGGACCAAGATCAACAGGTGTGTAAACACAACAAGTTGAAATTGGTAAATTGAGTCTACTAATAGCTTGACAAGAATATAATAAGCTACAAACAGGGGCACCCTGAGAGTCACACATAGGGAAAGTTGAGTTAGTCCCTTCATTATTCGATTTGTAGATTGACGAAGAATCAGTTGCACAATCAAGCAACGCGAAAACTGTTTCATCATGAAAGGAAAAAGGCGCGTTAGCGTCTAGACTAAAGCCTTTACTTGGTTGTGTACAAGCACATGTTGACATAGAAGGGTCAGTAATGTACATGATTTGGTGGTTGTAGTCTATGGATGTAACAGGATAACATCCTGTGTGTGTCTTGAAAGAGAGTTGTTGATTGTTGCAGATAACATAAGGTTGAAATCGCGGATCGCCACAGCCAGGACCAGTGCCAAAAGGGTATTTGATTGGTATATTGCCACATGATTTTTGACAAGTTTGTGATGTGATTAGTGAAGGAAGAAGAAGTATGAATATAATGCAAGAGATCAGGAAGTTCATGTTTTGGTTTTGAATATGAAAATGTAGAGAAGGCAAGGGAGGGGAGGGAGGAAGTGAAATGTGGAAGAGTAGTGGTATATAAATATAAATGTATAAGGTCTAAAGGTAGTGTCAAATTGATCTTATTTTATGGCCTTATGGGGATTGTTCCCTTTTCTTGGACTTGGTAATGCATAGTATCAAAAAGTCTCAATGTTTGAGATATCCCGGGAGAAATCACGAGGTTTCACGTTTTAAATAAAGTGAGTTCTTTTTCTTTAGGGTTATCCAACATTCGTGTTGGTGGGAGGTAGAGGTGGACAATGGACATATATCGTCGAAAATTGTGATATCGAATCAAGAGTTATCCAACATTTGCGTCGGTAGGAGGTAGAGGTGGACAATGGACATATATCACCGATAATTGAATTTCCGAATCGAAGTTTGATTATGATGCTGAATCAAGAGCTCTTTCTGTTTGTTCAAATTTTGATGGATAGAGTTATCCAACATTTATGCTGGTGGGAGGTAGAGGTGGACAATGAATATATATCACCGAAAATTGAATTTTTCGAATCGAAGTTTGATTATAATATCAACCAAGAGTTCTTTCTGCTTGTTCAATTTTTTGATGTATACAGTTATCCAACATTTGTGTTGGCTGGAGGTAGAGATGGACAATGGACATATATTCTACATTGAAGTTTGATTACGATACCAGATCAAACTAAGAAAGTTTGATATTTGTTATCTCAATTACTAAATTATGAAATCAAATTTTGATTCTAATTTTATTTTATGGTTATTTCATGTGTATTAATTAAGTGCCACCAAAAATTGCAAATGTAAAAGGACATCTATTATAAGTTTCTAATGTTTGCTTTTTTAAAAATGTAAGACTAGTTTGTAAATGCATGGTGATGGAGAAATACCTTGTAGATTTAATTTAATTATAATATTTAGATATTTGAGAACTCTAATAATTGGTTTGATTAGTTTAATTATGTCAATGATTATGCTTCCACTAAAAAAAAGAAAAAAGGCATCTTTTATCTTTTGTAATGTAACACAACTATATTATTATACTATATAGTATATATAGGTGCTCCTCTTGCCAGCAAATGAGCCACTTTAATATAGTAATAACAATCTTTACTTTTTTTTTTTAGTTTGTTTAAAAAAGTTAGCACTTATCTTAATTTTATTGTTAAATATTATTCTGATATACTTTTAAGTATTATATAAATATAATCACAATTCATTTAATTTAATCCGTGATAAACACTATGTCATTCGCCTCCCTCCCCAGAAATCTCATTCATCACTTTTCCTCGCCTCTCTCATTTTATATAAACACAAATGTATAAATTGTGTTTGTATAAAGAGAAAGAAAGATGTATATACAAATACATATCTCGTCCTATACATTTATAATTATACAATACAAATCTTCCCCTGTCTAGTTTTCTTTTGTCTTTCTTGCTTTATACAAAATACAATGTATAATTTGTATTGTGTAAAGCAAGCGCGCTAGAGAGAGAGAGTTTTGAACACAAATGTTTTAATTCGATTCAAATGTATACAAGTTTAAATTTTATGCAGATATACAAGCACAATCGTTGATACATATGCATAGTAGTTATATATATAAAATTATCTAACCGATATACATATACAATCGTTCCGTTTTTTATACAAACGAGATGTCTGCCTACGATTTATACAATTGAATTGTTCTATAGTTTGCTATGGCCAAAGTTTTGGCTAGCGCTGATGTGATTTTTGTATTTGCTAAATCTAAAATTTACTCAATTATTTTTAGTCGAGACCGACCAAATGTGTAACTTGGTTGTCAAATCTAAGCCCATATTTCTAACATATGTCCGGCCCATCAATTTTATAATGGATATTTTCATAGGCCCAATTTGATTCCAGAGGATTCAACCGCCAGCTTTCTTCTCCAGCGAAGAATTGTGTGTTAGTAAGAACCCTAATCCTTTTTTTGAATGATTATTCATAAATTAAGCTTGTAAATGTCATTTTATCCTTCTAATTGGATGTTTTTTTGAGTTAATTTTCATTTTTGTAGCTTACAGTTTGAGATTGGCTTATGTTGTAGACTCTATTATGGATGGAATATGTTAATTCTATCTTTAGAATAAGAGAATTAGCATTTATATATCAATTGGCTGTCTTACAGGATATTGAGTTTTTTTTTTTTTTAAAAAAAAAATATTAAAGTTCCTAGCTCTCTGCTCTTTTGGTGCTCTTTTGGTGATTCGAACTCGTAATCGTAGAGTTGAAGGTGGAGGATGCTTACTATCCGAGCATTGAGCTACCCCTTTTTGTTGAATAGTGAGTTGAATGTTTAAGTTAGCTGTTTCTGTTATGGATGTTTATTTATTGGTGAAGCAATAACAGCATCAGCCAGCCTTCACTGCTTTCTCCACCAAGAAATCTGACCAGAAAAAATCCACTTTCCAGTTTTCCTACTTATGTTTTCGTGCACTTTTGTCTACCCATCTGTTTTTTATTGCCGAGGTCTATCAGAAACAGCTCTCTAACTTAGAGGTAGCGGTAAGGTCTGTGTACACTCTACCCTCCAAAGACAAACACTTTTTTGGACTAAGTTTTGCTGTTTCTTATTGTAATTGGAATTGAGAATTTGAGAATTGGGTTTTAAAGATAGGTTCTTTATGATAAAACAATATTTTTTGATAGATTCTTTATAGTCGATCTCTTTTTCTGGTAAATCCAAGGTCCTTCTTCTTCACTGGCATCCTCCTAATGTGGCAAATTTCTTGCTTTATCTCTTCCTCAATAGCAGCAGCATCAGATAGGTTGATTTTTTTTTTGCTTTATTCGATTTCCTTCTTTTCTTGATGTTGCATTTGCAGAAATTGACCTCTTAACAAAAAGTTACTGTAATCAATGTTTAATGTGATCATCGTATTTGTTTTACAGGTGACAAAGAGATGAAGTTTCTATAAATTGATTTTATACATGGAGGAGAGCCATGGCATTTGCAAGCTTTAATGGCTCTCTCAAAGAGATATGAGGAGGTGTTCTGCTTTTGTTTTTCCTTACCATTGTCAAGTCTTGTCTTATCATCAATACTTGGGTTCTGTGACAAAACACATGTCATTCTTTTCATATTCAACTAATTCTGCAGTTGCAAAGCGTTCTTGCCTAACTTTAACTGCCGCGAGATCTTTTCCAGATTATTCGCCTAAAAAACCCTCCATTAGAGACTTTGAACTTGTGCAGCACATATCGACTTCTATTAAGCAACGTTACTCTGAGCACGTTCGGCGTGTTTTAAAGCCCTTTGAATCAAAAATTAAACCTGACCACATCGTTTGGGTTCTCATGACCATAAAGAATGATTACAAACTGGTTATAGATTTCTTTGATTGGTGGTGTCAACGGAGGGACCCGTCAATTGAGGTCCGTTGTATTATCGTGCATATTGCTGCTGCACAGAAAGATGCAAGGATAGTACATAGGCTTATTCATGATTTTTGGGCAAGACCCGGTGTAGATGTGACAGTTTTCTTCCCCCAGTTTCTTGAAAAGTTAATATACACTTATAAGGATTGGGGTTCTAATCCATTTGTTTTTGATATTTTCTTCCAAGTGCTTGTAGAGTTAGGAAGTCTAGATTATGGAAGAAAACTTTTTGATAAAATGTTGCACTATGGCTTAGTTCTATCTGTCTCTTCATGTAACTTTTTCCTTTCACGTCTCTCGCATGAGATTGAGGAGCACAAAATGATGCTAAAGGTCTTTAATGAATTTTCTGAAGTGGGTGTTTGCTGGGACAATGAATCTCATAATATAGTGATCCATTCTCTTTGTCGGATAGGGAAAGTTAAAGAAGCTCATAACTTACTCCTGCAAATGGAGCTGAGGGGGTGTATGCCCGATGTTGTAAGTTACAGCACTGTGATTAATGGATACTGTGCCGCTGGACAGCTTGAATCAGTGATGAAGATCATCGAAGAAATGCAAGTAAAAGGATTGAAGCCAAATGCATTTACTTTTAACAGTATAATTCTTCTTTTGTCAAAGAGAGGGAAAGTGCATGATGCCGAGAAAATCCTGAGGGAGATGACTTCCCAGCGAATCACTGCGGATAATGTTGTTTACACAACTCTTATAGATGGCTTCTGCAAAACTGGGAACATAAGTGCTGCATACGGCCTGTTCAATGAGATGCAGAGTCTTAACATTAGCCCTGATTTGATAACATATACTACCCTTATTTCTGGTCTGTGTCAAACTGGAAATATTGTTGAAGCAGATAAGTTGTTGAATTATATGCTTGGCCGGGGGTTAGAACCTGACGAATTCATTTATACAACACTTATTGACGGTTATTGCAAGGCAGGGGAGATAAGGACAGCCTTTTCTCTTCACAACAAAATGGTTCAGATGCAGTTTGTGCCAAATATTGTGACTTACACTACACTAGTAGATGGGCTTTGTAAACTAGGGGAACTTGAAACAGCAAATGAACTTCTCCAAGAGATGTGCGGAAAGGGTCTTGAACTGAATATTTACACATACAACTCACTTGTTAATGGTTTTTGTAAAGCTGGAGATGTGAATCAAGCGTTGAAGTTGATGGAAGATATGGAAGCTGCAGGTATCTGTCCTGATGCTTTTACGTATACTACTCTAATGGATGCTTATTGTAAATTAGGAGAGATGGGCAAGGCTCATGGACTACTTCGTCAAATGTTGCTTAGAGGGCTCCAACCCACAGTAGTTACATTCAACGTTCTGATGAATGGCTTTTGTATGTCAGGGATGCTAGAAGAGGGTGATAAACTGTTGAAGTGGATGTTGGAGAAGGGTATAATACCAAATGCTATTACTTACAATTCTCTTATGAAGCAGTATAGTGTGCGAAATAATATGTGTATGACGTCAGAAATTTACAAGGGTATGCTGGACCAAGGAGTTGTACCAAATGCCAATACCTTTAACATATTGATACGAGGACATTGCAAAGCTAGAAATATGAAAGAGGCTTGGTTTTTGCACAAGGAAATGATCAAAAAGGGATTCACTCCGACATTAGAGACTTATCATGCACTCATCAAAGGGTTTTTAAAGAGGAAAAAGTATTCTGAGGCGAAAGAATTGTTTGAAGAGATGAGAAGATATGGTTTATTGGCAGATAAAGAATTTTACTCTATCTTTGCGGATATGAACTATGAACAAGGGAACTTTGATTTGGCGCTTGAGCTTTGTGATGAAGCAGTAGAAAAATGTCTTACAGACAAGACTGATAACAGGAATGCATGATGGTTGTCTGACATGATTCTGCATCCTGTAGCTATTTTTGGAACCAGTGACAAAAAACTAGTTGTCTTGCTCCCAATGATGCTAATCTTTTTCGTGCTGAAGTCAGTTCAAGTTGTGTTACTCTGTAAGTCGTCAGATGATATTTTGAGACATGCGAGTTTACTATACTTGGTATTTGTGTATTTAATTTTTAATTCACTTCCATTTCTTCAAAGAACTAAAGCTGAGTACACTTTTAGATGCATGCTGCAATCTAGCATTTGGGTGCACTTTTTCTTTCTTTGCTTAGATTTGCACCATTCGATGCAGGGAGGTGAAGGGAGGACCAATGAATCACCTTTAAAACAATCCCGCTTGGATCAGAAAGAAGCATGCAAGCTAGGTAAAAATTGCAAATTCATGTTTCCTCCTTTATAGTAAAGTGGAAAACGGAACACGTTAGACTATACTCTCTCTTTTTCCCATACAAACCTTTATATGAACTTCTTTGGTAAGGGTGCAAAACTTTAAATGGACTTGTACATGGCTATGCTATACTTTTATTCTGGTGGGGTGGAGAGTTGATGTTAAGGATGTAAAGACAGAAACTCCAAGGCACCTCATTATTTTAACCTATATTTGATGTTCCTAGCTGCAGAAGTGCTTGTGGTTGATCTAACGTTCATCTTTCTTCGTGAATCAGGTGTCGTGGACTTGGAGTTCTACTGCAGTGAAGTATACTAGAGTATACCACCAATAAATATCAAAAAGCACCGGAAACCAGGAGAAGATTCGTGAAAAGTTGTTGTTTTGATATGTGGAAGTAGCGGTTCAAAGAATGCATGATTGTTTAACCCAGTTTAAACTGTTGGAGGAGGTTAGATGATATTCAATGACTATTTCTTGATATGTATGAAATTTTCAAATAGCTCTCACCGGTTGGTAATTATGCCATAGACCTGGTGGTATCAGTTTCAGGAGAAGATAAATTGTTGATCGTGCAATCAATTTAACTTTAAATTTAAGTCAAAAGCAGTAGTAATCAAGTATCTATTCTGATCAAGTTTGTTTTTCAATCACCTATCAACTGAAGCTAAGTTAATTCTTTGGTGGGGAAATTGATGTTGCTTTGAGGTAGCTTTGCTGTTTTATTCTTTTATTAATGTTTTTTCTAATTAAAACGTAGTATAAATATATGATATGATATGTTTCTGTGGTTAAAGTCTCGCGTTATTTAAAATAGCAAGGGAAATAGTTTAGCTTTCAGGGTTGATCACGGTTTTCATCTTAAGAGTTGCATTCTATCTTCTGCGACATGATAATGTTGCTCCACCACAAACTATATCTTGTCTATTTAGTATAATACTAATCTCATAATCACAGTGCAATGGCTACAGGATGAAGCTAGTCAAAAGCAGCAGACAGTAAAGAACAAGGACCGAGCAGAGATCTGCTTTAGCAACGTGACCATCTGAAGGTGCAGAGGGACCTGGGCTCTCAGCAGTCCTTGCTATCTCCATCGGGCAAGTGTAGTTGCAGCGACTTGGACGAACCACTCTGTATACACCGGTGCTTGTTAAAACAAAGGTATCCTTCCTGTTATCCTGTCCAAACGAGAATATGCAACCTAAAGCAGGCAATGGACTATTGGGAACTGAGCTGCAATTGAGAGGGGAATCATGAGCACAACTGAAAGAAATGCCTCTTGCTGTAAAGTTCCCACTGTTATACGGATTTTCTTGAGCTGCCCAAAAGTTCTTAGCATACAAATCTCCATAGAGGTAACTGCAAATGCAACCATCCTTCTATTAAGTTGTGTTCACTAATGTACAATTTTTATATCGACAAGGGTGTTCATATTTACCTTCCATATATGCAGGGATCAGTCTTGGAGCGATAAACATAGCCACCTGATATGGCTGCACATCCAACTTCTTTATTTATATCAGAATGGCGGTATCCTAACACTGGGAATATGGGATCCTCGAAATCACCAGCTGAAGCATTTTTCAAGCGTGAAGGACCTTCATACATGCTCCATCCATAGTTTCCTCCTTTTGTGATGATGTCAACTTCTTCATACTGATCCTGCATGATTCAAATGATTTTCAGAAACTCACGTCAAGATACCAGGTAGCATGTTATGTCTGTTGACAAGATCTTAACCAACAGAGATATAATAGGTCTCAACAAAAATGAGATTGTCAATGAACCTGGCCAACATCTGCACAGATGAATTTCGAAGGCCTTTCTGAATCAAAGCTACAGCGCCAAGGGTCTCTCAGTCCAAACGCCCAGATTTCAGGCTGCAAATCCTTATTTTGTGAATAAGGATTATCTCGAGGAACCGAATAGTTACCCCAATGTCCAAGGTCTGCAACATATGGTGCTTGCAATGAAACCTTTTGAAATGGAGGTGGTAACGTAATTCAACATGGTATCAGAGCTGGTATAAGCTCGAAGGAACCAGACCAACAAAGATTGGCTGTTTAAGTACACAAATGAGTGAAAAACCAACCAATGATGGATTTGGTGCAGTCCCATTAGCACTTAACTCTGCAACAACAGAATGGTATTGGCATGGCTGCTTATAATATAATTTTTAGTTTTAATTTTTTTTGGTTGACTTTCTTTTTAGTCTTTATGCAATTCTTTAATTTTAAACTTTTCATACATTTTTGAACACAACATTTCAGTCCATTCTATATATCTAACTGTAAAATTCAAAAATCTTTCTTTTACTTTTTAAAATTTCATATCAAGTCAATAAATCAAACAATAATCAGGTCTCACTTTTTTAACCAACATAAATTGTGCTGTGATGGTTGAAATCCTTGTGTTCTTAATCAAACGTCTTTTATTCTAGCGTTAGCATGAAAACAATCTAATCGAAAATATTGCCAAAAAATGAATTTGTAATGCACAAATTCAACTTTAATCAGACGTTCATACGAATATCAAATCGAAAATCAAAAAATCGTAAAAGTTCCCACTTCTTCTAGATAAAAAACAGCACAAATTTCAACTTTAACGTGTTCAATTCTTGGCCATGAAGCATACCAAAAACATAATCTAACTTTTTTTTCAAGGGGGTAGACATAATCCATTTAAGTTTCTATTTGTTAATTGCTCTCAAAATTATTTTTCCATGTAAAGGACTTGACTGCTCAACTTACTCACTTTTTTTTCCGTTCGATACTCGATACTTGTATTAGATTCTGATTATTTTCGATTAAATTTATATAAGAATAATTAAGTGATTAAAAAATATAATTTTAAAAATATTTATATATAATCTAGTAAGCCGGTGAGTGGTGGGTATGAAAGCTAGGGAGTAAGGGTTGGTTTAAAAAGACTTTAGGGTATCGTAACATTATACTCATACATAACTCAAATATATACTCCTTTAAGTTATAATTCAATTGATATATTTATTTTATTTTATACTATATAAAGTAAAATAAATAATATATATATAAATAATTAAATCATGACTTCGTTACTTACATAATTTTAACCCGCATAAACAACTCCTTAGTATACAATACTCCTCATGTCTCATATTAATCGTTCACATGCCCCTTTATAACGCTCCTTTAAAAAAAACATAAATAAAAATAATAGTTTCAATTCCTTTTTTTTTTTTTGAAACTTTACAATTTTTTTTTGCAATTTAATTTTAATCAAAGGATAAAATAGTAATTCTCTCTTGATTTTGTAAGTCGATAATTAATTTAGAAATACCTATTTTTGATAACGTGTACAGTTGATATGTAAACAGAAAGATGGAGTATCAAATCAAAGTTACTCATAATTATTAATGCTCGATCTAGGTCCCCCTATCCTCTCTCCCATATTTTGTTGACTTTACGTCAGTTCATGATATAAACGAGTCGCACACCTAGTACATGCCCCCTCCCCCACACACACACTATTTATATCTCATATCAAACACTATCACTTCATTACATTTTCATTTGATTTTTATTATGGCTAAAAATAATTTGAAAATATTAGGAGCATGGCCTAGTCCATATGTTATGAGGCCTCGTATTGCTCTTAACATCAAATGTTTAGCCTATGATTTCTTAGAAGAACAATTTGGTACAAAAAGTGAACTTTTACTTAAATCAAATCCAATTTACAAAAAAATTCCAGTTCTAATTCATGATGGAAAACCTATTTGTGAATCTTTAATTATTGTTCAATATATCGATGAAAATTGGACTAATTTTGGTCACTCTATTCTTCCTTCTCATCCTTATGATCGTGCCATTGCAAGATTTTGGGCATTTTATATTGATGATAAGGTGTGTGCTTTCGTTAATTTTTAGTTTCATGTGTTCTCGAGCAGTGACATAGCTAGAATTTTGAGTTTATGCGATTTGAATTCCAGAGAGAATCGATATAGTGAATTCTGGATATATTATTTAAACATATTAAGTAAATTTTAGAAGGTTTGACCCGTAGGGATTGTTGAACCTTTTTGTACATAATATATATATATAATGTTAAAATTATTTTTTGTTATCGTTTTTAAATTTTAGTTTTTTCCTAATTAAAAGGTAGAAAAATTGTTTCTGCTTCCATTTAAAAGCATTTGATTTTCCAAAAACTTCACTTCTCAACAAAAATGTTCTTTTTTTTTCCCTTCAAAATAAGTGTTTCTGACCTCCCAATAATTATGTCAAAAAGACGTTAAACCTATAAAAATGTCTTCTATAAATCACAATTTTATCATCGATTGTTAAATTGCTCGTAGTTAACAAAATTTTGTGTATGTCACGCTAAATAGAACTAGCGACATATTTTTGTTGTTTAAATGCATTAGTAATCACATTATTATGAAGAAAAAAAAAGTATAGTATTTCGATTTTCTAGTTAGAATTACCTGTAATGAAAGGGGTTCAATTGAATTCTGTTAGTTGTGAAATAGTATTGAACAAATATGTCAATAACAATCTTTCTTTTACGTGTATAAATTGTTGTATACTCTTGAAATGAGTTAATGTAATGGAAATCACATTAGAAATCATGACTCTGCCTCGAGTAGTATAGCATACTAAACATTTTACTCGATCCTGCTGTGGTTTCCAGCACTGTGTGGGGTTCAACTGAATTCTGTTCGTCGGGAAATAGTATTGAACAAATATGTCAATAACAATCTCTCTTTTATGTGTATGAACGGTTAAATACTCTTGATATTGAGTTAATGTAATGGAAATCACATTAGAAATCCTGACTCTGCCTCGTGTAGTATAACATACTAACATTTTACTCGGTCCTGCAGTGGTTTCCAGCACTGTGTGGTGTGGCAGCAGCACAAGACGAGGACGCGAAAAAGGCAGCAATGGAGACTGTGATTGAAGGCCTAGTGTTGTTAGAAGATGTCTTCAAGATTAACAGCAAAGGCAAGAAGTTCTTTGGTGGAGACAAAATCGGATACTTGGACATTGCACTTGGTTGTTTCTTGGGTTGGTTAAAGGTTAACGAGAAGTTGAACAACGTAAATCTCCTTGATGAATCCAGAACTCCGAGTTTATACCAATGGGCTAAAGATTTTTGTGTTGATAGCGTTGTCAAAGATGTCATGCCTGAAACTGATCAGCTTGTTCAGGCTGCAAAGATCATTTGGGCAAAAATTTAGAGCTAAATCCGTATGTTCTTCTTTTGATCGTGATGTTTTAGAGTATGGTCTTGATAAAAACGGGTACTAAAGAGTTGCTTGTCGTTGTGTAATAAGATATTCAGCAAAGATCTACTTAGTTACTACTCTTTCCGTTCCAGAAAGAATGACACAATTCTATATTTCCTTACTAAGAAGCTTGCATAGTCATAGGAGTACTAATGACACGTTTAAGACCACAAGTTTTATAATTACGTTAATGTTATGACGTATTTAAGATCACAAGTTTCAAAATGTTGAATTCTTTTTGGAATCTATCAACAAATGGATAAACTAATAAGGTCCTCTTCTTTCAAATTTTCTCATCCACACATTCTCCCAACTTCACAATCCACATACTTTAAGCACTATTTGTGTTTCTAACTCTGCTTTGATCATGGCTGAAAATGATGTGAAACTATTAGGATCATGGCCTAGTACATTTGTTATGAGGCCTCGTATCGCGCTTAACGTAAAATCAGTGTGTTATGATTTCTTGGAGGAACAGTTAAGTTCTAAGAGTGATCTTCTCCTTATATCAAATCCAGTTTACAAGAAAATTCCAGTTCTAATTCATGATGGGAAGTCCATTTGTGAATCACTCAACATTGTTCAGTATATTGATGAAAAATGGACTAATTCTGGTCCCTCTATTCTCCCCTTGGATCCTTATGATCGTGCCATTGCTCGATTTTGGGCATGTTATATTGACGATAAGGTACACATCTCTCTTTGTAAGTACTGTAAAAGCTTAAGTTATTAGAGAGAACACTTCAAATTCAATTATCTTTGATGTGTATACAGTGGCGTATCCAGAATTTTAAATTAATGGGTGCTTGATAGTTAAAGCATAGTACAGCACGTTGATCGATCCCACCTATAATATTGTTTATATATTTGGTAGTTAGGACAAACCAGCATAATTTACTAGATAGAACTTATGTGCAAGAAGCATCAAAAACTCTTCTTATTAATCATAACTTCAATATTAGTTGTCGAGGAAGCTAGTCATGGCAACAAATAGTGTAAAGCTTCTAGGTTCATGGGCAAGCCCGTTTGTGAACCGCGTTGAACTAGCTCTCAAGATAAAGTCTATTGAGTATGAGTTTATACAACAAAATATGATAAACAAAGGTGAGTTGCTCCTTAAATCCAACCCTGTATACGAGAAAATCCCCGTCCTGATCCATGACGAAAAGCCTATCTGTGAGTCCCTTGTCATCCTTCAGTACATCGATGAAGTTTGGATTAATGATCCCCCGGTTCTTCCGTTTGATCTCTATGATCGTGCCATAGCACGATTTTGGGCAGCCTATATAGATGAAAAGGTGAAGACTATATTTCATATCACTATCTCGTTGTAGGACTAGTATGTCTCGAAAATTCCTCTTACATGTTGTAGTGTCCAATTCTTTGGCGGTGGAAACTCTAATACCATGTTGAGATTGTGTGATCGTGTAATCTAAAATCTTAAGGTATTAGGAATAGAACATTTCTAATTGCTTGTTCACGCTCCAGATGTTCAGTCTTGAACGTGTGCTAGAGAGTGTTAAGAGTCTCACATTTGTTAAGAGAAAAAGTTGTCGTCATGAGCTAGCTGAGGCCTATTTCCTTAACAAACATTTTTATTGATGCTGCAGTGGTTTCCATTATTCCGTTCCTTTGCGGTTGCCCAAGGAGAGGATGCCATAAAAACAGCACTAGAGCCAGTGTTCGACGGTCTGGTGTTGTTGGAAGACGCCTTCAAGAATTGCAGCAAAGGAAAGAAGTTCTTTGGCGGAGACAAAATTGGATACGTGGACATTGCACTTGGATGCTTCTTAGGTTGGATGAGGGTGATCGAGAAGATGAACAACGTCACACTACTTGATGAAGCCAAGACTCCAGGTTTATACAATTGGGCTGAAGATTTTTGTGCTGATAGTTCTGTCAAAGATGTCATGCCTGAAACTAATAAGCTTGCTGAGGCTGCTAAGAACCTTATACCCAAAATCAGAGCTAATGCATCTAGCTAAATCCACACGCCACGTTTAGCCTATGAAGCCTCGATATCTATTCTTAATCTCTAAAGTCTAGCTAAGACCATATATGGAAATAACATTTGGTATTGTGTAAAAAACTACTAAGAAATGAGTACTATGAAGCCAAGATCTACTATTTATAGGTTAATCATTTATGTCTTTATTTCTGTTTTGGAACTTGAAATCTTCTAAAACAAACAGAATTAAGAAACTTACTGAGCTGAAAACGTATATACATTCGTGTTGAGTTACAACACATTCAAACCCGAAAAACTTTTACATAGCGAAGTATACTTAGACTTTTCACTTATCATATATGGAGTTTACATATACTCCTCGCTTATAAAGTTTACATAGGGTGCCTTACGCAACATAGAGGACAGTAACTATAGTTTCTGACTTGAACCGGGTGCCTACTGCCTACAAGATGTGGCTTTCCCTGGGCAAAGAGAATCTTGCTGATCCTACATTGTTCGTCTAACATACAAACAGAAAATAATTATGCATAAAATACATATTTGCTTATCATATGATTAAGATATTAGTACTAAAATACTAAAAATTGATGGTACCATTATGCTGTATGAGTAGGATGATGATGTAGTTTTGGAGCTTTATGGTTTATAAGATGCCTTTACAAAGAAAAAGATGCCAACTAACTCTTTGTATTTTAAGTCAAATTGTACATCTGTGTTTTGGCAACATCTGTGTTTAAGAGACCATGAGAAGAATCAATGTGAATACAGTGGCGGATTCAGAATTTTTAAATTAATGAGCATAATACAACATGTTGATCCCACCTATAATATTGTTTATTTGGTAGTTATAACAAACCAGCATAATTTACTAGATAGAACTTATGTGCAAGAAGCATCAAAAACTCTGCTTATTAGTCATTCTTTCAATATTTGTTGTTGAAGAAGCTAGTCATGGCAACAAATAGTGTAAAGCTTCTAGGTACATGGGCATGCCCGTATGTGTATCGCGTTGAAATAGCCCTCAAGATGAAGTCTATTGAGTATGAGTTTATACAAGAACGTGTGTTTAACAAAAGTGAGTTGCTTCTCAAATCCAATCCTGTTTACAAGAAAATCCCAGTTCTGTTCCACGACGAGAAGCCTATCTGTGAGTCCCTTGTCATCCTTCAGTACATCGATGAAGCTTGGCTTAATGGTCCCGCCATTCTTCCTTCTGATCCCTATGATCGTGCCATAGCACGATTTTGGGCAGCCTATATAGATGAAAAGGTAAACACCTAAACTTCATTTGCAACTTATAAGAAACAACCTCTCTATCTCTAACGTAGAGGTAAGGTTTGTTTACACTCTACCCTCCTCAGACCCCACTTTGTGAGACTACAGTATGTTGTAGTTGAATTTGTAACTACTAAGCTTGATATGTTGTTTGTGGTTAATTTCACGTATGATCACTGAACGTTACCATGCTTGAAAAGTCGTTTAGATGAGTAGTTAACTTCATCAAATGGTTGCAGTGGTATCCATTGGTAGCGGATTATAGGAACGTGGAAGGAAAGGAAGCAAAAGCAGCTATGGTGGAGAAAATTTCTGAAGGGACTTTGCTGCTGGAGGAAGCTTTTATCAACATGAGCAAAGGTAAATCTTACTTTGGTGGAGATAGTATTGGTTATGTTGACATTGTTTTTGGTAGTTTACTCGGATGGGTTAAGGTAATCGAGATCGTGGATGAATTGAAGATACTAGACGAAACAAAGACGCCTAGCCTAGCTGAATGGGATGAGAAATTTTGCTCGCACAATGTCGTAAAGGATATCATTCCAGAGACTGAAAAACTTGTGGAAATTTATCACAAGTATGTCGAGTTGAAGAAAGCTAACTTGAGTTGATAATGTTGCTGATTTTTCTTTATCTGTGCTTTGAAAAATAATAAAAGACGTTTGTTATCAAAAATATTACGTTCAGTTGAACTCGTATACCTCATCTAAGGTTCATCCCCTTTTGAATAGTTCTAATAAAATTTGCTTCAAATCATGTGTCACATATGCTGATATAGGCCTGCAATGTTGTGTGTGACCATGTCAAAGTCTCAATCTATTGTTTTCTTGTTTCACAACATAAACCAAAGTCATCTTAGTATTCTATGTTTGCTAAAAATTATAATCGTTTGGTACGCTGACAAGGTGAGATATCCCAAGATTGAGCTCGGGACAAATTTATATACCATCTACTAAACACAGTATAAATTTTATTTCCCATCATCTCTCGGGTGGGATAAATTAGTCTAAGAATTACAATCTCGAAATAATTTAGTCTACATGCCAAACGACAATTGGTGTGATGCCACTTAAGTTCTTAGTTTATGACAAGTTAGACAATTGTTTAGCTTATTGTACCATCACTAGGTTTTGGGTTGCCTACATAGATAACAAGGTATTACTTTCAACACAAACTATTTTTTTGTCACATTAAAGTAATCGAACTATGTAACTTGATCAAAAAATATTAATAACCGGATTCACTAACATGTTGGATGTGCGTATAAAGTCCCACATTGGTTGTTAAGAAAAAAAATTACATATTAGGTGAAGGGATAGTTATAACAATGTGAGGCATTTCAGGAAAAATCGTACTAGACTTGACTCAAAATGGACAATAGTAAAGAGTACTTAAATTGACAATCTGATCATTGACTCTAGATGTTGAATTCGAATCTGTATCATACAAATAAGATACAACTTATTTGATTGATGAGACCATAAATCCATGGGAGACTAGTTATTTGCAAGTAGTCAGATTCGAATAAACAAGTAGTCAGATTAATTCAAATGTACATCTTTTTGAGTAAAAAAACACAGACTCGTGATTAAGAATGAAAGAAAAGCTAGTTATAATTTACAAAAACAAACAACTACCTATTACATCAAAAAAAAAAAATTATGAACGTTAGATATTTCGAATTCATTTGTAAAAATATACAAGTATATGTATATGTGATACAATAATGTTTAGCTTTATGAAAAGGTGAGTATGTGCATCCTGGCATAGCTAAATGGAGTAAGTAGAAATAAAACTCATTTTAGCTGGTATGGGAATTATTTATATCCACTTTTTGAGTCTTTTTTTTAAAAGTAAATTTCAAATAATTCAATATTTCCTAACAATATATGCCTAATATGGTCTTTATCCCTTTCGAATAATTTTATGATTTAACAGAATTTAATAATTTAAAGTTAAACTTAATATATATATGTGCGAAAACTTTATAAATTGAGTTGGTTACACATTTTAAAGCTCTCACCCAACTCAAAATTTATAGTATCTAAAATCTAAAATATGAGTTATTTAAGAGCAGTAACAATTATGTAATATTGTTGGTTTTGATATACAATTAAAGAAAGTGAATCTTTTTTTGAATATTTTCTAAAAAAATTGTAATTTTAAATTGATAGTATTTGTGTGAGTACAGATCTATTCATCAAAAGATTAAAAGGAAAGATTAAGTTTATCTTTTCAAAAAAAAAAAAAAAGAAAGTTGTCCCTATTTTTTGTAACAAATTAAAAGGAAAAATATTGTCAATGAGAAAAGTACTTTTGGAACAAGTGCACAAATAGCCTATTTTGGGACCATATTTAAAGCATAGCCTAATTTTATGAAGTATTGTTTATAGCCATTTTAGAATCAACTTCAGATACAGATGGTTGAAGTTAAATTTATCTACTAATATTTATCATATTTGTGTAATTAAACAAGTATTTTTTTTCTTTTAAATTTTAAAAATTATTTTTTAAATAGCTTTTAGTTTAAGAAAAATGACTTATTGTCAAAAGCAGAATTTTCTTTTTCTTTCTGAACTCTCTTTTAATCTCACCACCTAATTCATTCAAACGCCCCTTAACTCTAACACCTAAAACCTAACCCCTCCCCCAAACCGACTTGGGACTCAACCCAAGATTGTCTAAAGACCTACCCCAAACTAGTAACCAACTAGAAACTTAACCCTGCCCCGACCCTAACATGTCCGACTTGGGACCCTTCCACACTCGAAACTCAACCTAGACTCGTAACTCAATTACTCCTAACCATGAATCAACAGGGGACTTGGCACCAACCTCAGATTCGATCTCACGACTCAAAAGGTATCAGGAGTTTGATGAGATTAAGATTGAATCTCTGATATGAAATCAGACATCGATATCACGTCTCAAGTAAAGATCAGATCAGAATCGAGTCACAAAATCAGAAACTAAGAAAAAAATATTTTAGTAGTAAAAAAAAACATTCTTTATATAGATAGAAACTAAAACAAAAACAAAACCTATCCTAATCAAGAAGCAACATTACACACCAAAATTAATTTTTGTTGCTATCCAAAAGCAAAACCTCCACGTTTTACTATTTTATCTTTCTATATATGCCAAAAAAAAAAAAAACTCACCAAAATCAAAAACAAGAACCCACCAACTTCAAGAAAATGGAAGAATTCAAAGTAGACAAATGGGGTTATCAAGTGAAGACTAGTTCTGATTCTTGCATATCTGCCATTAATTCTTATTATCATCAGGTACCTTTTTCATATTTTCTTGATTTTTATCAGTATGAGTAAAAAAGATCAGATTTTTATCAGTATTGAGTAGAAAGATTAGATTTTTATTGATTTTGGGTTTATGTGAACTTTGATTCTTGAGGTTTGGTTTAGGTACTTAGCTATGGAAGAGAGAGGTCAGTTATATTGGAAGCTCCAAAACAAGACCCAACTTGTGTTTTGGCTAATATTTTGGCTGCTCATTTTCTTTGTTCTGCTGATTCTTCGCGTGCTATGCCACTTCTTGAAGCTGCCAAGTCTTGTCTAGTACAAATTTTGCAACTTTTTGGTTTGTATTTTTGTATTTGGGAGTTTGGTTTTGCTTATTTGTTGTTAATTTTCTTTGTTTAGGAACAAGCTAGCTTGTATGAGAAAGTGGTTTTTGAGGTAGTAAGTTATTTGATTTTACCTAATAGAGATGATGATGTGGCTGTTGAACTACACTTAAAGGTAGGTTCTTTTATTGCTGTATGTTTTGTTTTTGATCTTATTGTTCTACTACAATGGTGTCTTGTTAGCTTCTGATTATGGATAGTTGTAATAGTTTCAATTAGCTAGTAAAAGGGCAGTCCGGGGCACTAAACTCTCGCTATCGCAGGGTTCGGGGAAGGGTCTATTGTATGCAACCTTATCCATTTCTGTAAGAGACTGTTCTCATGGCTGGAATACATGACCTAGTTTCAATTAGCTAGTATTCCCATCAAATCATAGTGTGTCAAAGTTTATCTCTCCAATATTCTGTTTTTCAGAACCATATGATTGTATATAGTCCTATCCATTCTTCTGTTTTATGTTCTTTAAACAACTCCAATTATCATTTGAATCCCAGTTCAGTTTCATCAGACAGTAACTGTTATTTAACGATCTTTTGAGAATTCAAATTTGGTGTTCATTGAATCAGAAAATTCTTGTCAAGGAGTATCTGATTTTGTTGGTCTTTGACATATAATAATAATTAAGAATCTGATACTTTAAAACCTTAAGGATGTTGTACAATAAATTAGTCAAAAAGACAAATGACAAATAGTAGGTGGTGACAATTGTCATCATGTATCCATTTTAGTATCTTTATGAGTTTGCCTTGATGATCTCAGTGTTAATCTCTTGATTGATATATGCATTCCCTATTTTGCAGCTGCTTAAGGATTTCCCAAGAGATCTGGTCACGGTAAAGCGCGCTCAAGTGCTCTCTTTCTACATGGGTCGCCCTGATTTGTCTCTGAAACTTGTTGAACAGGTTCATACCATATTGACTAAATATTGCCTTGACTTCTTCCTCTCCTAGACAACTTAAGAAACAAAATCAATAAAATAAATATGTAATAACTTGTATTAGACATTATATCTGGAGGTTGAGTATCCATAATAGGAGTGACTAATGTGGTCATTTCTTTAAAAGTGAGTTTCGATTCCTTTTATGCAATTATTCCTAGTAAAGTTTCTTGATTTTGTCCTACAGGTCCTACCAGTAAATAAACATGGAAGATACATTTATGGCATGCTCGCATTTGCCCTATTGGAGCTTGGTCGATATGCGGAGGCAAAAGAAGCTGCAAAGAAAGGCTTTGAGATTGATAGTGAAGATGCCTGGACACACCATGCTGTGAGTTACTCCTGTTTGCAAGTTACTCTTTCCTTTCTAGCTGATACAAACACATTTGTGGTATTATATGTGCTTGAATTTACTCTGCAAAATTTATCAACTATAACTATTTCTATGCCTCACTACCAAACTAGTTGGATTGGCTCCGCCAAAAAGCTTGTTTATCCCTATATTTCCATATAAGCATCCAAACCAGAAAGTGGTTACAAAGGTTGCTGGCAAACACCAGACCAAGCTCGTGAAAATCTTCTGCACAGAACAAACCGTGTAATTGTACCATTAACCTCTATCCCAACTAGTGAAATATCCATTGCACATTACAAACTTTTAATTGCTAGTCCAGTCATCATAATACTACAGATAGTTAACAAAGGTCCCATTTGAGGGAATCTCTTCCTATTGTTTTATCCTAGGAGAAAAAGAATAAGCATGGACATAATTTTTTATTGTGATGGAATTGGCGGTGTAGTTTGTATCATTTTGTCGGAGGAAATGCATTTTATTCATTCACTGATATTCTAGCATCCTATTTTTTTGCTTATTTTATCACAATCTCCTTGCAGCTCTGTCATGTTTATCAGTATGAGTGTCGTTTTAAAGAAGCAGTACAATTTATGGAGGAGTGCTCAAGAACCTGGAGTTCTTTGTCATCTTTTATGTATGCGCAGAATCTGATAAAAGCACTCCTAGTTCGGCTCTGAATATAGTATTTTTAAAAGCTAACCATTAGGATATTGCAGGTATACACACAATTGGTGGCATGTTGCGCTTTGTTATATGGAAGGTCATTCGCCCATGGAAAAAGTAAGAGATGTTTATGATCAAAACATCTGGAAAGAGTTGGAAAGAATTGATGCCAGTTTAGCCGAAGTAAGTTAGTTGTTTGTAGTCAAAGAGCATTTTAGTTCTTTAAATATGCTGAGAGTTACATTTTTCTTGGTATGCAGGTGTACTTGAATGCTGTTGGTTTGTTACTCCGGGTATATTTACGAGGTGGGATTAATATATTTGGGGACCGTTTAAAGATCCTAGCTGATCGTCTGACAGATAAAGTGAGTTCAGGTGCAGAAGCATGTGAATTTCTGTTTTTAGGTTATTAGGATAATTGCATGCATATTCACTTAAGTTGGGATATGTATGTCTTTCCTACCTTTGAAATGTGGAAAATCGGATGACAAGCTAGTTTGTTTAGCTAATCATCAAAGACTTCATGAAAAAATATGGAACAAATTTAATATACTTGTTATTATTGTGAAATGAAAGGTGTTGATTTAAGTTATTTAACAATACATGCTTTTAGAAAGGTCCTCCGTAACCCCATACTAAATAGAATAAAACTGATGAAGAAAATCTTCAATCAGTTGAGAAAATAGATAAATGATATGAATCAGGTTTCGTTCTTTCAGTGTCATTTGCTTTTTCATGAATCATTTCCTTTCAGATTAATGTTAATGATACTTCGGATTGGAACTGTAAACTTGATCTGCATTACTATGAACTTCCATTTAGCAATTACATTGTGCGGTCCTCTTCCCCTTCTGTCTATACAATGTAATAAAAACTAAATGTTGTTTCTTTGTGCTGCCACTTCTATATTAGGCATTCTGGTATCTTGAATGGCACCTGGATGTATTGGTGTTATGGGCCCTATCCTATACAGGCGAAGTTTCTAAAGCAGAAGAGTTACTCGAGGGTTTGAAGTCCAGGTCAGGATGGCTCTTTCCAATCTCATAACTATGCTGTGTCCAACGTACTCTGATAATTTTGTGCTTTCCTGTAGAATTTCTACCATGACCAAGAAAAAACGAGAATATATGCAAAGAGCTGTGCTGGTTTGTCCCTTTTTCTATTTACTGAATTCTTCATTACTTCTTGGAGAAAATGTTTCACAATTTCTTTCCTCTTTCAATAGCAAAAGATTCTTTTTTATTTAATACTAAAAGATTTTCCTAATGCGTTTTACTGTCTTTACAACTTGGGCCTTTTTTAGACCCAAAGGATTCATTCTGCTGATTGCTGTTGGGAGATGAAAACATAGTGCTGTTTAAACTTACTCCCTCTGTTTCAGTTTGTTTGTTTGGTTTCAAGATTTATAAGACACTTGAATCTTGTGATCACTAATATGCGTAGAAGGTACCAAAATGTCATTTAATCTTGTGGCCGTAAACATTAACATGCCATGTTGAAAGTTAGAATAAAAGAGTTGCCAAAAAAAGGAAGACATTCTTTTTAAAACAGATTAAAAAGGAAAGTAAAACAAACAAATTTTAATGGAGGGAGTATTGATTATACTGTTGCTTGATTCTCGTGCCAATCACATCTTTGAAAATATTGATTCATTTAATAATTGTACGCTTGATATTTGATAGATAAAAACTGTTTCTTTCAATTTTTAACTTTTAATTCTTTCTTTACATTTTTATTTTAGCTTGCAGAAGTGTTATTCGAATATGGTAAGGGTGAAAATGAACGGGCATTGGAATTGCTCGGACAAACATTTGATGCCATTGACTACAAGGTAGTTTGAACATGAACAAGGGGTACTCATGCAGTTTGTTTAGCATTATTTTATTTGTTTCATGAATGATTAGCAAAATACTACCTTGTGCAGATTATTGGAGCATCAGACGAGCAGCTTGATGTTTTTAATGAAGTTTGGATCACTATGTTGCTAAACAGTGGTCGGGCTACAAAAGGTTAGATCATTTGGCTTCCATTTTGAAAGAAATTCTTATTAGAGGTTTCCGGTGGTGGTGATAGTTTTTATTCCTGTAAAATGGAGTATGGCCTCTTTAAGAACAACAACTACAACATTCCCAGTGTAATCCCACAAATGAGGTCGGGGAAGATTAGGATGTACGCAGACCTCACCCCTACCTTTGTGAGGTAGGAAGGTTGTCTCTTATAGACCGTCAGCTCAAGAGCAGTCAAAGTAGGGTTGCGAGAAAAAGTATGGCCTCTTTGATAAAGAAGGAAATTTGATCCTAGGATCTCTCTGCTACCCTTCAAACCTCACTCTTTGGTATACACTTATTTTTGTCTAATCTTAAAAGTTCGTAGTCACTTATCCTTGAGTTGTGGTTTTGGAACTCGCAGCTATTGAGGCAATAGAGATGCAGCTAAAAAAGAGGGAAGGAACCCCGTTCTTGTGGCGCCTCCTGGTACGTCTTGGCTCTCTGATCCATTATTTTAGCTTCTAAGATGAGTATATTGTTCAGGAATAACTGCACTTTTCACTGCCATCTCTGAGGATTAGCGCTCCTTATCCAGGTGTTTAAATTGCCTCACATAAGCCTTTATTCTTTTCTAACATGCATCGACAAATCATATCGATAATGGTCTATCAAATACGTACCTCGTGGATTGCAAATTCTACTATGAATTACTTTTTACCTCGACTTTGTATCTCCAAATTCTGCAGTAAATTCAGAGTGTTTTATGTATATATGAAGGTGAGATGGAAAAAATGTACCAATAAAGAGTGTTCTTTCTTGTACATATGCAATTACAAGTATAAGCACATTCCAAGTATAAAATATCCTATGCTTCAATACTCCATATTTAATGTCTTCATAAGGTTTCTGAAGGCTCAAATTTGATGCTATCAAGTTGTAAGGCATAGAGTACTAGTTGCATATTAAGGAGGACCAAAAATAAGTCGGCGCATGCACGATGTAGAATGAGAAGTTTCTTCTGTTCTTTTATTAATTGACTTATGTATCAGATTCCATCCACCCTACAGTCGACGATAATGATTGGCTCTATCTATGAAGATATTGATTTTGTTCACAATAATCAAATTATATCTGGCCTTGTTTACACCTTTCTAGTCATTCTCGATAAATCATTGTTCATCTTTCTCTCCTCTTGCTCGACAAACCAACTTTTCAAGCCTTGATTTGTCCTCCGCGAGAAGGAATTGGATTATAATGTATAACTGTTGCTTGTTGGTTCAGGAAAAAGGTTATTCATCAATGTCAAGAAACCAAGAAGCTATACAAGCAGGCAAAAAAGCTCAGTCATTGGAAGGTGCATACTTCAACTAATCTTGGCAAAAGGATGATAACTATCCAAAATAAACTCTTTTGCACACCTCTCAAATGTTAGTGATTTTCACCTCTTGTATCCCTCTCCTCTAGTAGAATGTGTAGTAAAGTCTCTCCATGTTGTGTATTTATAAGCAGTGTCCCCCCAAGCCAATTCTATCGTTGGTGAGGGCGGAGACACTTGTAGGGAGAACAAGACTCAAAACTCGGAAGTCCTTAAATAATCTCTTTTTTTCATAACGGTGATATTCAGATCAGATTGTTGATTTCATGTACATGTTATCTTTCACCAGCACAGGTAGAGAAGAACTTACAAAATCTTGAATAAATGAAGTAGTATTTTGATTTGTCAATGAAATAGCACATGCTATAGCAGTTGTGATTTTGAGGGGACCTAACTTTTATTGACTAGTAGATGGTGCCATCAATGTTGGCCAATAATGTTTGTACTATCTAACTCACAAGGTTATTCCTTGTCCCTTTTGCCAAAATTACTTGCAAAAAAAGTCAAATTGATCCATGTGGATGTTTCCCAAATAGATATCCAAAACTTTGATAGCTCCAATTTTGTGTTGAAAATGACATGAAAATAGTGTCACTAATGGTAGTGACTAGTTGGTTTTGACAAGTTAAAGCACATGCATTCTTAATTTTTCATAGTTCCCTTCAACTCTTAACAAAAAAATAATCGATTCAACTTTGTTCAGTGTATATTTAAGGGACTATTTCGAACCTACCATCAAATATAAGGAAGGAACCATTTTTTTTTTTCATTCTCTCAAAACTAGAATCAATATAGTGTCTTAAAACAATTACCAAAATTACAAGTACTTGTTTAAGCATTGAGTTTTGAGTAATAACATCTTCAATTATTATCATAGCTAAGTCGAGAAACAAAAAAAGTAATTTCATAAGTAGTAAAAAAAAGTGGGATATATTAACATTCCATTTTACTACAGTCAAACAAATACTTCAACTGACACCTTTTCAGTCCAAAGTCCCCCACCCCCACACCCACACACATGTACAATACACATTTACACTTAAACAGAGGATTATTCAATGAGATGTTGGTACCTCACAACCATACTATGTATCGGTTACCTCTCATCAACACAGTTATCGTTCTATCTATGACACTGACTGTTTCTGGTCAGTATAGATATCGATTAACTCTGTTTACCAAATAATCGACTAATTAGTCAATTAGACCAATCCCATCAGGAACCACCATGTTGCTAGAATTTGAAGTCCTCAAAATACCACCACTTCCAACTCCTCTAGTCCTGCCCCTTATCCTTCTCAATTCTGCTACCACATCTCTTGAATCAGGGCGATCATCCTTATCGGCCGCTACACATCGGAATGCTAGCTCCGCGACTGCACCGACACCTTCCATTGCTTCACCATCCACCACCAAAAAAGGGTCCACAACTTGTTGCAACAGCCCCATTTGAATTCTTGAAACTACCATATCAGCTAATGCCATTTCCCTCTTCTCCCTCTTCTGGTCTACGGCTTTCATACCTGTTATTAGTTCCAACAACACAACACCAAAGCTATATATATCACTTTTTTCGTTCAATCGAAACGACTTGTGATAATCAGGATCTAAATAACCAGGAGTTCCTTGTGGACCTGTCCAAACTTCACCAGTAGAATCACCAGATGCTACTGATGTATCTGTGCATACTAAGAGTCTTGATAGCCCAAAGTCACCAACTTTTACCCTCATATCTTTTTCTACAAAAATGTTGGTTGATGTAATATCTCTATGAACTATAGGTGGAACAACAGAGAAATGCAAGTACTCAATTGCCATTGCTATTTGTAGTGCTATATCAACTCTTAAACTCCAAGTTAAAGAACCTTTTTTGTACAAGTTCTTGTTACCGTGTAGATGGTCAGCAAGAGTACCATTTGGAACATAGTCATAAACCAAAAGAAGCCCTCTTGGATCACTACAATAGCCATGAAGTTTGACTAGATTTGGGTGATTGATTGATGACAAAATCAAGATTTCATTACAAAATGACTTGGTTGAAAAAGCTTTGGTACCAGTGGGGGAATGCTTATGCAAATGCTTTACTGCAACAAGCCTACCATCATCAAGATTCCCTAAATACACAGAACCAAATCCTCCATCCCCAAGTTTCCTCTTGTGATCAAAGTGATTTGTAGAGCTTTCAAGTTCCTCATAAGGGAAAACTGGTGGAAGTAAACTAGCTGATCGATGCCTACGAAGGTAAATGATAGTGGGATCTTCTTCTGAACCAGCCCCTTTATCTCTTGAACGAAAAATTAAAGATCCAATAGAGAAAACAACCAGAAAACACACTAATAGAAAGACCATTGACAACATAACTATACGATTAGCGCTTTTTTGTCGAATCAAAGGAGGTGAGTACCTAACTTGTGATGATGGAAAACATAAAAATGGTTTCTTTGGGTGTGAAGAATTGAATCCACAAACACCACTGCTAGCTCTGCAAGTCCTACAGCTTGTAAAATATGAATCTTGTTCTTCATCCCACTCAACCTCAATCCCCATTTTCAAGAAACCATCAAGAAACCCAAGAATGTCACTTTGACATCTTTCATCAGACTCAAAATGGTGTCTCAATCCACATTCATGCAGAAGCTGAAGTGGGTTCTTGATAAGTTTACATTGCCATGGACAGTGACTACAATTAGGGAGATTTGTAGGTGGACATGGCCTAAGAGCAGAAAGCCTAGAGCAAGATGAATCAGAGACCTTGAATGGTGAACCAGAAAGAGAAATGGATCTATGGTGCAAAGAACAGTTCTTGGAATCAGTAGATACTGAGCTGATTTCATTTTGTGAAAGTGAAGCTGGAGAAAGAAGAAGAGTTGAAGAAGTAGATTCATAATGAAGCAAAGAGAAAGACAAGTTATTGATTGAAATAACAGCATGTGAAGGTGAACATTGGATTTGAAAAGAAGGATGACCACAACCAGGAGATGAAGAAAAGGGAAAAGGGGGAAAAGAAGCAAAAGGTGGACATGAGATTTCAGATTTTAAACAGCTATGAACTGCTGCTGCTGCTTCAAGAATGAAAACCAAGAACAGAAAGATTGACAAAAATAGTAAAAATGACATGATTATGCTGAACTCCAACTAGTTACTGAAGTCATTCAACAGCAAAATCCAACATAACAGAAGAAAGATTGAATCTTTGGGGAGTAAAAGGGAAATCTTGATTTGTGGTTAAACCAAAAATGCTAAAAATGACATGATTATGCTGAACTCCTACAAGTTACTGAAACCATTCAAAAAACACAATCCAACAAAGAAGAAGAAAGATTGAATCTTTGAGGAAAAAAAAAAGGTGAAATCTTGATTTGGGGTTAAACCAAAAATGCTAAAAATGACATGATTATGATGAACTCCTACTAGTTACTGAAGCCATTCAAAAGCAGAATCCAACAAAGAAAGAAAAAGATTGAATCTTTAAGTAGAAAAAAGAGAAATGTTTGAATCTTGATTTGGGGTTGAGATTCTCTTAACTATTACCACAACTGCCTAGGATGTTGGGCAGTAGAGAAGTGAGAGTTTGGGAGTGTGGGGGGTCTCGAGGTAGAAAGAAAAGAGGAAGGTCACGTGAACACAATATAGAAGAAGACAAAACAAAACAAAAAATGATGAATTCTTTGATCATTGGTCCAATAAAGTTATTTTTAAAAAATAAAATTATTTGGTCATTTTTGCAAAAGGAGGAGATAAGGGGGTTGGATTTTTCAATAGAAGGAAATTTTGTTTTGAGATCGTTCGTTCGGTGTGAAGTATAAGATAAGAAGACTCGTCACAATTTTACTTTAATCATTTAGTAAAAGGAAAAGATAAGGAGTACATTTTTATTTTATTTTCAGAATTATCATATTTTATTTTGGTCGAAGATCTTAGATAGTTCTTAGCTTATAGATTGAACATCGAATGAGTGGATTCAAATTCAATATTACAAATTTTAAATATTCAAAAAAAAATCACATTTAGCTTTTTGTGACGTACTTTCTATTTTCATTTTTACTCGTTATTTATTATTAAAATAAATTTTTATTTTTATTGATCAGTTTTGTCATATATAAGAAAAGAGTTAATTATATTATGAAGTTTGATAAATTAGTATCCTATAACCCTATATATTATAGTATAAAGTTCGTTACGAAATTAATCCATTTATTTTTACTCGTCACGATTTACTTTAATCATTTAGTAAAAGGAAAAGGTAAGGAGTTTTAGATTTTTTCAAAATAAAGATTTTGAAGGAAATTTTGTTTGCTATTTTTTCGAAAAGAATCAAATTATGAGATTTGTTTCCCTCCATTCAATACATCGTAAATGATGAAAAAGTCTTCATCTTTCCCTCCACTCAACTCAAATATTTTAAACTCAATATATGAATTTTAAAATAATTATCAATATTTGAAAGTTTTTAAAATTGAACTTTATAAATGATAAAATCAAAGTTATTTTATTTTTTTAGAGTATACATTAGCATAACTAGCAACATGAAACTTAGAAATATTATTTGATAATTGTTCTTAAAAAATTGTCATTTGTGACATTTTAGCATGACATAATTTTTTAGAACTATAGCATTTTTACCAACGTAATACACCATATTGGGTTTTCGAGTGGATCTAGAAATGGGATGCACAAATCCTTTTCAAAATTCGTTTTCGTTTTTATATCTTCATTATCTGTATTTTTAGCTTGTCTCCTTCTCTTTATGTATCTGTATATATCGGATCATAAAGATAGCTGCATCTAGTTGTATTTGACTTGAAATTTAATATGAAATTATTAATTATTGAGACAATATGTAATTATTTCAAATTATAGGAAGAATTAGTAAACATGGTTGGAATGTTTGCTCAAAACGTAAAAACTTTTCGCTTTCAACTCGAAGATTGTGAGTTTGAGTTACGCCAAAAGTATTTTAGATTAATAGATTTTCACGTTTAAAATAATTGGATTTTTAGTTGGGTCAGGTTGGGTGGATTCAGGTTGGATTAAATTAATTTTAGTTAATTAATTTTTCTAAAGAATCAGATATATCACGTATTAAATGAGAAAATTAATTAATTCAATTAATGGGCCGTTTGTGAATAAGTGTAAATAAGGACTACAAAGTTAACTCCAAGAGCACTTTGTGGCCAATAAGTTAACAGAAATATTTTTATATCAATTTCAATTATTTTGAAAATATTTTAGGTCCTAAAAAAAGTAATTAGGTAGTAATTGTTTTTATTTTGCTTTCCAATTAAAAAGCCCACAAAATTGGGGGGAAAATAAGAATAAAGAGAAAAATTATGCGGTTGAACAAATTTATATTATTTAATTATTCATTATAGTTATAGTTTGCTATAATTATCATTCGTGTTTATTATTATACATTAATTACGTGGGTAGATTTCGAGTTTGTATAATTACCACGTTGTATATGTATAATTTACCAGAATATACAAATATAAAATGGATAATATACAGTTTTATCTAACCGATAAACATATACAATTCACCTTTCTCCCACTCTCTGTCCTCTCTCGCTCGCCTCTCTCCTACCTCTCCCAATCTCATTTGCCTTTATACAAATACATATGTATAATATACAATTATCTAAACAATCTGCATTTATAATTCACCTCTCTCCCATCTTTGCCCTCTCTCGCTCGTCTCTCTCCTCTCTCTCCCAGTCTCTCTCGCCCCTCTCCTCTCTCTCCCAGTTTCTCTCGTTTCTCTCCTCTCTATAACATGTAGCTACAAAGTGTAATTATCAAACTATAACTATAGAGAATAATTAGAATATTTTTGAGTCGTTAGATATGAAAGTTCCTCAAGAAAAGAAAAAAAAAAGGACAAATTAGACAATGTTTATTAGATTACATATTCTTTTTGTATCACTTATAGTATACATACTTTATAGTGTAATTTTTTTTTATATATAAACGTTTAGTTAATTAAATATAATCATTTAAATCGAACTATGAAATATATATTCACAAAAGCATTACCATTTTTTGCTAATCATTTTTTTCATCAAATTTCCTATACTAATTAAGTGTGTGTCTCCAATAATTTATGAAGGCAGTGGGCAATTAGTTTTGATATCTCACTCATAAGTCATAATAAAACTTCTTAGTTTCAAGTTCCTTACGTTAAGCAATCTTCATCTTCAATTCTTAAGTTATGAGTTTACTCGCGGTTTGAGTCACTACGAGAACAATAGAAACTATTTCCATTGTATTTGTTATTTGTTTTGAAGAAACAACAAGAAAAATGCAACCATGAAGATTCAAACTCAGGTTTTCAAGCTCCGTCAATGCAACCATGATTATTCTTTAGGTGTATAAAGTTAAAATTTTTGTCAAACTAAAAGTGTTTATAAGCTGAAAAGTCATAAATCAACTAATTTTAATTTATAAATACTTTGAATGTTTACTAAACAGTAAACACATAAATAAGCTAAAAATTATACGTCAATTTGATCAGTTTATAAATTTAGAGGCACACTTATATTTATAAATCCCCATCCCTAGCTACCTTTGCCCTTTTTTGTTGCTTGGCTTACTTTTAAACAATGGATTCTTAAATATGAGAGAACTAAATCAAGTTTAAATTTATCTCAAAGACTTTTTTATATTTTTTTTTTGAATTTATATACTTATGCAATTGAATTGTTGTTAAAACAACTAAATGTGCAAGATTAAATAATCATACTGTCAACATTCAATGTATATTTAATAATAGTTCAAGTAATTACCAAATGTTCAAATATTGTTGTATATTACATCAAAATCATATCGCTTATCTTGATTAACTTATTTAATAGGATAATATTGTATATTTATTAATCATGATTAAGCAATGATAGTCTAATAACTAATATATATATATATATATATATATATATATCATGCATTTATTAAGGAATATGGTGTATATATTTAGTATATTGAGTAAGGCTTTACCTTATAACTATTTATTTACACTCGATATTTATTACATAAAATCATATTAACTTATGGTGAACAAGTTATAACAAGGTAAGAATGTATATTAACATCATGGTTTACGCAATAATAATTTAATAACATACAAATATTATGTAACACTTAGGACTTGTATCAACAAAATACAATAAAGATATTGAATATGTGAGTAAGCATATATTTTACATTCCAGTGACACATTTTAAAGCCGTGTAGACCTAGATTCAGAGCAGACTATATCACTAATAAATTAGAGTGTTACATGTGATATAAATATGAATTATAAATAAATTATTAACCTTTTAAAATATTTGGGGAAAAAAAACTAGATTTTGAGTGGCAAAAGTGCCATCACACAAGTGATGGATATGTACATTTACCTACCAAATTACCATACCTACCTTTATCCACTTTATATAATATTCACTCTATTTTGTTGCTGCCATAATTTGTCATTTCCATTAAAATTTTCCAAATAGGCAAAGTTCCATACGTGCACAATATTTATATTTTATTTATTTATTTGCCTAAACATATGATAATGGTCTCTATTAGGAGTGTTAACTCAAATTAATAAATCAAATTAAATTGAGAAGAAATTTGATTAGTTTATAATTTAATTATTGTATTTTTATTTAAATTATCATTAATCATTTATTAAAATTATGACTGTTGAATATGATAACGTTTTTTTTCCAAGTAGAGACGCATGTACACTACAACAAAAGTAGCTTTTAGCATCAATAAATATGCATATTACTAATAAACAGTGCTAGATTTTTTATCGTTATTAGTTAACTGTCATTAAATTTTATTTCTCTATATTATCACTAGTAACTGCCTCAAAAACTAAGGAGTGTTTACTATCCAGAATCTATATTTTAACATATTTCTTTTTTTTAAGTATCACTAAAATCTATGATAAGTATCCTCTACTTTCGATCTGAAGATATATATATATATATATATATATATATATATATATATAAAAGACGTGAAATCTTCTTTGGTTGTATATACAATTTTTTCTTTGAATATACAACGAATAGGACCAAGAAAATGAAAGAATTAGAGGATATATATCCATTGGATCAAGTTATTGAATCCATTTTATGCCACATTAATGTGTATACCTTTTGTCTTCTTATATACACCATTCAATGTATACAAAATACTAACAAAAAAAAATCTACAAATATAATGAACCTATATCATATTCACACTTTATTAATTTCAAAGCTACTAGTATTTTTTCTGGTTTAATTTATTTATCTAATTGTTTTTTCTTAATTTGTTATGTTATTTAGTAATATTAACTTTTTATATCACAATTACTATTCTGCGTGAAATATTTAAATATTCACAAAATTTAAAAAATATTTTGACACAAGTCATGCATATCTTTAATATTTTGATGCCTTGTGAATTCCACATTAATAGGGATGGAATTTTTCAAATTCCATATAAAGATCGAACAATTTTTAGTTTTTAAGCTAATTTTTGAAATATCAACAAGGCCTAAAACTGAATTTGACATGATAATATCAAAATCAGATTCATCTTATATAGAATCTTGAAAAAAAATAATTGAGAAAATGAAAATATCCCACTTTAA